TCTGTTAACCTGCTCGGGCACACTCGATCGTTCGGGGTCCTCCATGTTGTGTCTCGGGTACTTCTAATTTCATTGGAGGGCCCTGTGCTCTTTTCGGGGTCGATCTTTTAAGCTGTTCGGGCCAGTGGCGGATCCGGGGAGAGGGGTACTGGGCCGTGCCCCCTTGTACCCCTCTGGGCCATAGACTCCGAGGAGCCCATACCCGGCCGAACTGACGTCGCATGTGAGATAGTGAGACAGTGCATGACGTTGGTTAGTGTCATGTATGGTTGTGATACGGCCACTGATCAAACGCGTTCCCTTTCTCTTTCTCCATGCATGCGACGTCTTAGTTTTGAACCGGATCGACGCGCTCACCAGCCTTAAGCCCAGTGTGCCGGCCGCTCATGTACTTAAACCTACGCTCTAACCAAGGGTTTTTTTTGGCGTGGCCAGCAAATGATAATGAAGGCAAATGAACCCTTCGAAACGGAAGAGTGATGATGTTTATTCTTATTCCGGGATTTGTCTTTTTATGTGGTTTTTCGCAATTGCAGCTATACTGCAAACGGCTTGTGATGTTTGGCTCCAGGTGACAATTTAGGCTCTTACAAACGTTGTCTGTGTCGGAAAAGACACTTCCCTGTGCGCGCTATGCACCTTTCGCATATTGCTATGCATATTTTGCATCTGGCTGCATAGTCTACACCAGCACAGGTCTAAGTTTTGGAAGGTAGACGTCTCTCTCAAATAATCTCTTTGGTTAACAATTCCAAGATTTCCATCCGAAGTTTCCTTAATTTATTCGTGGAATGACTGTCGAAACACAATCTGACTTTTGTCTTTTTGTACCACCATGCGCCGCAGGCCTAAGCGAGCTTTCTGATGCCGCTTTCTGCTTGGTTCTAATGTTAACAGTTTTAAGGTTAAAAGGGGGGGGGGGGGGGCTCCTCCTCTGGTAAACGGGGATGGGGTACTCTCGTGCAACCGAACCAAAATCATAATGATGCTCATGTGACACATTTTAAGCCCTGAAATCACCAAAAACAAAATAATGCGACCAATGGCAGCACATTGTACATCAATATCAAAGGATTAAACAATGGATTTTGTTTGCTGCTCCCCAATGTGCAAAACAGATCCCTCCCCGATAACACAAAGCTATTTAGATTCCCTCCGTCATTTTCAGTGGCCTTAAGTTACACTGAATTTCAATTTTCTGTCTCTACAAAAACCTGGACATCCATCCTGTCTCTACAAAACCTGGACAAAAACCTAGCCTGGACATCATGTCATTGTGCTAACTGTCCGGGTGATAAACTTTGGTGAGCTGGACTGCTCGTGTGTTGAAGTCACCCAATTACGTAACATGGCATACTTCTCCCGGCGAGCGTCTTTCCTAATTCGGAATTTAAACCAACCCTGGGCGGCCTTTTTAGCTTCAGTTGCAATCAGTGGCCTTTTTCCTGACACGCCCCAGTCCCATGCCGTGAGCCCCCCCCCCCTACCCATTTTTTAGAGCACAACCTTTAAATGGTAGTAGACCTGAACACAAAAATGAGCACCGTGTGGCGAGTTCCACCCAGATAATTTCATTGCATTCTGCTATTTTTTGGCGCCGCGCACTGATTGAAGCTTCACCATCATACTCAAGAAGAAAGAAGAAAATGTGCACTACCGTGCTTGAAAGGGGCAAGAAAATATGAAAATATGTGGCGCACCAATTCAAGTCACTGAAAATGATGGCATACTGAAAGACATCTGTCTCCGTCTGTGGGGATGGCGAGTATCTGTCCTGATTCGCACTACTGGTATGGTGATAAAGGTAATACATGAGTCATTTGTAACGATACCGATGGTCCACGGTTCGTGCATGCCAGATACAGTGGCTGCGCTAAGTCGGTACATTTTCGCGATTTTCATGTCGAGGGAAGCTTTTCTTTCCGAACTTTGTTGATGCTGCAGGTAACCTCTGCCGGTAATGACGGATAAGATGATCCAGATGATGAAGTACTGGTGTCAATCGCCCGTGCACATGCCCAAAGTTCTGTTCCGTTCTGTTCAGATCTTAAAGGGAATGTTTCAAATTTGAACGTATTGAAGTAAGCATCAAACACGCTAAACCAGCCCATTTATAACTATTGGTATACCTTAAAAGCCGAAAAACTGCTCTAGACAGCCCAATTCTCTGTTAGTAAATGTGCTTTTCATCGTGCCATGGTTTGATCATGTCATCGTACCCGGCACAACATAAGACTTGAATGACGTTATTATAACGTCATGAATGTCAAGGTGACTTTGAAATGCCCTCCCCGATATACGTTACCCCCATTTTGGCGGGCATGTGGCTCAGAAACTAGAGAGGCTTAGTCCTTAAGGAGGACAAGATTGTGAACAACACCGAAAGGTCTTGAAGATGGCTATTACAGTTCAAAGCCCCATATCAATGGGTTTTCCATACAAACGTAGAATAATCCCTTTAGAGAGAGTGTTCCGCATTTGTATGGGTTTCAAACTGAAATAGCCATGTAAAGATCATTCGAGCAGTTAACAATTCTACCATTTTTAAGAGCCAAAACTTTCTAGCTTTTAGCTACACGCCTGCGAAGACGTGTATCATTTTTCGGGGAGGCAATCTCAAGGTCACCCTGGCATCCATGACGCTATAATAACGTCGTTAAAATCCCATCATTCTATTAGCCATGTGGCAATCAATGCTAAGAAAAGTACAACCGTTGAGTCATTCCTATCGGCCGTTCGTAGCCACGTTTTCAAAATATAACGGCCGTCAGTTAGCTCTCAATTAATATTGTGCATGGTACGATAACGCAATCAAACATTGACATATTGAGGAGCATATTTACTAAACAGAGACATTGTATTGTCCAGAGCAGTCTTTTGTCACTTGAAAGCATACCAGCAGTTATAAGTGTGTTTATCTCATCATATCTTATGCTTGGTCCAAAGATTTAAAATATGGACATTGCTCTTAACCCGGCATTGATCGCGCTCCTCAGAGGCACACCATTGACCGGAGGGGGCAGATTTGACCCTCGCTTATGTCAGGAACAGCCGAGCCGAATAAAAAAATTAAAATCGCAATCGATATCGCCGAGGCGTGCGGCCTCACATCACACAACAAACTTATGTTTAAGCGCGTCACATTAAGGTCACAGGTCAAGGTAAAATTATAAGGATGTTCATTTAGAACATCTGACATTTCCCTAAATACATTTGATTGAGAAGTGCATCCCATGGTGTGAAATCATTGCGCCCTGATCAAACATACAACGTAGGAGGGTATCCAATGTTACGCGCGCCGTACCTGGCCTAGAATCAAGGTCAGGCCTAAAGCCAAGCCCGTGCAAATGAGAACCGAAACCTTGGTGTGTAGGTCTGTTTTGTGGTCTTTTTGTTTCCGTCAGATACGAGCCATCTGGACGTGAAGTGGAAGAGTTTAGCCGCAATTATCGGATTAAACACACGAACAAGAGCTGATACTTGCTCATAAACCGCCTAAGGCCAGGGTGATATGGATGACCCGGTGGTGAATAGCGGCTGGATCGACTGTCGCGTTGCTTCCGACGGTGCAGTCCTGCCGACAGCGCAATCTGATACTCTTCAACCACGCTGCCAGTCGCGTGATCGTCAGTTTGCGTGTGAAACTGATAAACGGCTTCCGCTGCGCCGTCACCGCGCCACTGCGGCAGACCTGGGCCCAGCCGCCCGCCGTCGCGGGCTCTGGGCCACCTGTTTTTGCGTTTCAAGATGCAAACCCGATGCGTTTCAAGCCATAACTCAGTCATTATTACAGATAATTACTTGAACCTTGTTACAGGCATCCCTCATAGTCGTATCTAGGACATCTTATCTAAAACTTTCATGATTATAAAGTATGAAACCAAAAAGTCATGTGTACCCTTTTCATTAATGTTTTGGCCATTTGACATGCAAATATTTAAATGTGCCATACGGAGGCTACACAAAGACAGATTTTATGCATGGTAGACTAATTAGCTCACATTCCCCTCTAACAGATGTCAAATATGTCCTTTTTTTGGCTTCTGTGTCAATTTGTCTACGGCTATGTGCTTTTGACAAAAAATCGGCAAACAGCACGTCTCTCTGACATTACTCACGCTTGATCTATTGAAATATAATATTTTTTCTTCAGCCCAAGGCGCAACATGCATCAAGTGACATCTACTGAAAATTTTGCAGCTGTAACTCAAGGCGTTTTTGAATTATTGCGATTATCAGACGGGGAGCAGATTTGACCCCCGTTAATGCCGGGCTAAGCTTATCGAAAAAAATGTCTCAAAGGTTCCGAGCGGCTAATCTTTTCCAAAGTCATTATATTTGAAGTTTTGTTTCATCGTATGGGGCATTACGAACGACAAAGGTCCGTGGCGACCTGCGAAATGGGCGCACGGTGCAGAGATTTCTGCTAGCACTGCCGACTATATTCGATTGTTATTTTCATGACCGTTAACCTGACTCAAGATCACCTCATTTCACTGCTTGAGAGTTATCGCGTATGTGTTGGGTGGAATGATGGAGGCGTCATGGAAATCAGCCCGTCATCATCGGAGCTGAGTCAGCATACGCACAACTCGGGTTCAAAACCGCTCATCCTTTTGTTGTATTTGCATCTGAGATTGTTTCTGTCAAACTCGACTAAACCCAACCAGAACAAAAACAACAAACCAGACTCAAGTGACGACGCATCGTTCGAAGACCACGTATCTGAGAAGACTTTTGTGTTGGTGATACATATACGCATCATAGACAAAACGCATAAGACGTACACATAAGACATTATCAGCGCATGCTCACTGCAACGCATCCGACGCAATTATCACAAGGCCCATGCTCCCGGTAGAATAGGCCTTACTCAGCGTTTAATGTGGGGCTCGTTCTTGACACTCGCAGGCATCAAAAGATCCACACCCTCGCACACCTGCATGACCTTCAGTGTTCTGTGGCCGCTAGGGCAGTCCCTGCGGGGTTGGCCGCTCCCTTCAGGGGAGCTCACTGTCGGCCTCCAGCAGGCCGGAACCCTCCAACAGGTCGGCGCCCTCCGACAGGCCGGATCCTTCCTCCGGCAGCAGGTCAAAGTCGGGCGCCTCCGGCTCGAAGGCGGGGCTCTCGGCCTCCTGCGTAGTGAGCAGGAGCTCGTCACCGGCTGCCTCCGGCGCCGGGGCAGCCTTGATCTCCTCGTTCAGTAGAACCGTGCCAGAGGATGGCAACACCTCATTTCCTAGGATCGCATCTAGCATTTGGCCGACCTCAGAGATCAGATCCTGATTAGAGGTGGTCTCTGGGATATCTTCCCGAGCATCTGAAATTACTTCTTGATCAGAAGTGGTCTCTGAGATCGCTTTCTGGGCAGGAATGGTTTCTGAGATTTCTTCCTCTTCAGGGCTGGTCTCAGAGATTGCTTCATGCGCCGGAGCGCTTTCTGAGGCTACTTCCTGATCAGAAGTGTCCTTAGGGGTCAATTTCGGAATGGAAGCGCTCTCTGGAGTCAATTCCAGAGCAGGGGCATTCTCTGGTGTCAATTCCTTAAGAGAAGAGTTCTCCAGGCCCAACTCCTGAGTGGGAGCAGTCTCTAATATTACCTCCGGAGCAAGAGCATTCGCTGAGATCATCTCCAGGACTGGAACGGTCTCCGAAATCATCTCCTGAACTGAAATGCCATTCGACGCCGCCTTAGAAGGGATACCGTTCGGAATCTTCTCTTGGGCAGTAGCCATCTCCATAATAACCTCCTGAATCACGTCTTGAGCTGATGCTTCAATCTCAGCCGCCACCTCTTGGACCACTGCAGCATCCGCTGCATCCTCTTCAGCTTGGCTTATTTCCGAGATCACTTCTGGGGTCATATGCGGAGTTTGCACGTCGTTGTTCGAGAGAATTTTCGTGGCCGGTGTGTCCTCGGTGTTTTGGGTCGATTTGAGCTCAGATAGTACCTCTTGGATCACCTCCTGAGCTGAAGCAGCAATTTCCGAAATTTCCCTCCGGACTGGACCGGGAATATCTGCAATGACATCCTGAACTGTCCCCTGGACTGGGCTGCCGGCAGTCTGGGCTGCTTCCTCGGGTGAGCTGGTGATCTCCCGGGTGGTCTCATCTGCTGAGGCGGTGAGCTTCTGAGCCTTCTTCTCGGCTGAGATCGTGGGGTCCGAGATGACCTTCTGGACCAGGCTGGGCTCTGTGATCACTTCCTCGAGCTCCTCCGCCACCGGGATAACCGAGTCGGTGGGCTCCAGGGTGTCGATACCTGCAGTCGTCGGCTGTGGCTCGGCTGCCGTGGTCTGCTCCACCGGCTGTGACTCGGCTGCTGGAGCCCGCTCCACTGGCTGCAGCTCGACTACCAGGGCTTGCTCCGCCGCCGGCTGTGACTCGACTGCCGGGGCCTCCTCCACCGGCTGGAGCTCGACCACCCGGGACTGCTCCGCCTGCTGTGGCTCGACTGCCGGGGCCTGCTCCGCCAGCTGTGACTCCTCGGCTGCCTGGGCCTGCTCTGCCGGCGACTGTAGCTCGGCTACCAGGTCCTGCTCCTCCGGCTGTGATTCGGCTGCTGGGGCCTGCTCTGCCGCCTGTGACTCGACTGCCGGGGGCTGCTCACCCGGCTGTGACTCGGCTGCCGGGGGCCTGCTCCAACGGCTGTGACTCGGCTGCCGGGGGCTGCTCAGCCGGCTGTGACTCGACTTCTGGGGCCTTCTCCGCCGGCGGCTGCGACTCGGCTTTCGGGGCCTGCTCCGTTGACTGTGACCCGGCTGCTGGGGCCTGCTCCACCAGCTGTGACTCAACTGCTGGGGCCTGCTCCGCCGGCTGTGACTCGACTGCCGGGACCTGCTCCACCGGCTGTGACTCGGCTTGCCGGGGCCTGCTCCGCCGGCTGTGACTCGACTGCCGGGGGTCTGCACTGCCGCTGGATCGACGCTATTCAGCGGACACACGACGCTGGGGCAGCACACGCCATCAGTGTAGACGGGTTTGCAGCCCCGGGCGCGGTGCTCACTCTCGCGCCGGTCCCAGTCGCATTCGGCAGACACCGGCTGCAACGACAGGGGACATGTCAGCAGGGATCGCCTCAGGGGACACACTGAGTAGATACCAGCGGTAACGACAGGGGGCATGTCAGCAGGGAACGCCTCAGGGAACACGCTGAGTAGATACCAGCGGTAACGACAGGTAGCTTGTCAGCAGGAAATGCTCTCGGTGGACGTCGGTTGCGACGGCAGAAGGCCTGTCGGCAGGGAATAGACAACAGGGGCGTGTCAATAGAGAATTCGCCCGGCAGGCACCGCCAAGGTCGACGGTCGGGTCAGAGGGAAACCAACAACCGGAAGCGTGTAAGCAGGGAACATGCCCAGAAGACACCGCCTGGATTGACAGCAGTGTCAATTTCGAATGAACGACAGGGGGCGCGCCAACAGTGGACACACCCGTCCCGGTGTAGCAGCAGGCTGTACGCCAAAAGCCGGGGTATAGGCTCCTTTTCAGTTGAGGTCGGGGGCTCCAGCAACGCCAACAAAAGATCCATCCTCCTACTCTAGGAGAAAACTATCCTAGGTCTGAGAAGCACAATTAACTGCTCAGCTCCCCCTAAAACTAATTTTGTGAAACTACGCCCCTGGCTTAAAAGTACGGGCACAGGCACAGGTATCTGTGATTACACGGGCAGATGCGGGTGATCAATACGATGTCAGCAGATTGGGACGGCGCCAAGGACACTGAGTGCCCACTCAAGCAAAGGTGTGCATGCTCGACTGCCTACGTCATCCTCCAACGCAAGTTCGGAACGCGCCGGCAGTCATCTTGGTGGCCGACTCCCGCCACTGGACTTATCGCCTCACATCGTTGAGCAACGCCTAAGCCACCCGTGAGCTCGGTGACCCAACCTGTCAGCTACGAGTGGTGGGGTTACCCAATGATCAGCCCCCCGTGCCATGAGCATGCTGGCAATCGCAGCGGTTGCAATACCCGTAGGAATGAGAGAAGCGGTCTCATGGAGACGAACAGTTAGGAAATATTCGTAGGAGTTCTCGGGAAAGGATGCTTATGGCCCTGCCACACTCGCATTGGGGCGTACAACAATGCAATAGCTCATGAAGGTTAGTGACTGCTTTCACCTGCGTACTGCAGGATTAGAAAACACCCTAAACATGGCTGTTCAGCTTTTTACAACGAGAACTTGCACTGATACCATGCATGAACCTGCCGGGACATCGCAGGCGCGAAAAACGCAAGTGTATGGACAGCTTTGGCGAAATCGTTTGTCGCGAAGAATTTCCCGGAAATCAATGCCAACACGGAATGAGACTGGCAGCACATAGACGTACAATTAAAGGACAAACCTTTGGGAGAAAACAAAGAGTAAACACCCAACCAACGCAGACAAAATGCCAACCAGAAGGCCCGAAACACAACAGCCGGCTTTCAGTGTGCAGCTGGGGCAACATAACTAATTACAGGAAGACGTCGCAGGCTGCCATTCAGAATCATTTGACGTCATCTGTTTGTGAAAATCCCGTGACGGTGCAAATCTCTACCGAAATCCACTTTCTGGTGCGTTATACCACCGTTTGTAATGTTGGCCTCACAAAAGCTTGCAAGGAAGTGTGTAACTGATTCAACAACAGATCGGCCTTTTAACATCTCATACATAAAGTGACAACCGACAACAACGCACTAAGACTTTTCCGTAGCGAATTCAACGAAAGGAAGGCGGACCAAGAATACTAACTTCCGGGATATATTGTGCACGGATGGCGGTTCCGTGAGGCCCACGCGCCCACACCGACGGCCGCGGCGCGGGATTGCCGACAGTGGACGGGCCACTGCTGCAACGCGGGGCTCCGCGGCTCGCCCCCGGAAAGTGCGGCGCCACGGAAAGTGGCGTCCTTCGCCGGCGTGGAGGCCGGCGATGTCGTCCGAGTGCGGCCGCCAGCCCGTCGCCATACCGGGCGGCCGGCGACACAAAGTGAACACGCAAGCGGGGCGCGACACCGCTCCGTATATAGCCGCCGTGGACAGACGGCCGCCGCAAGGGCTGGCGGCCGGGCTGGCCCGGGCGGCAGGCCACCGCCGCCGCGGACTTCCAGCAGCGTGTCATGGCCCGTCGAGCCGTGCTTTTGCAGCGCCGCCGACTGCCAAGGGAGGTGACGCAGATGGGCCGGTGTCCCATCTCTCACAATATTGCTTGCGAGAACTCCGATAGCCAGAACACAACAATGGAAAAGGCGGAAGGGCAGCGACACTTTCCTTGAAGACAAGCTATTCTAGCTTTGCATCATTGCCATCGCACGCTATTCGTGAGCGAACTGATGGAATATCCTGCAACGACGCCTCTAGGCGGTCCATGTCGGCCCATCTCTTACCTAATATTTGCGTAATGCACCATGCCTACTGTTTTTCTGATGACTTCATACCGACCTTTCCTTCCATGAGCTTCCGATGTATTGTTGGTATCTTGGACGCTGACCTTGGGACGTGAAATGTTGTCGCGACGTGTGTGGAATTTCGGTGCAATGGACGCTAACATGCAGCCTACTAATGGTGTGTAGACGGCAATGACCTTAAATTTGCACGCCCCTATGCTTCTGAAAGACGACTCATCTCTGGTTGAGGAGAAGTAGAGCTTTCCGAGAGTGGTATACCATTTGACTGCTCTGCGGCTAACCATTCACAGCACGCTGCCAGCAATCCACGGCTCATCCCGCCAATGTTGTGCCCAGTCAACGACAGAATATAGAGGTGAAAGTTTAAGGTGCCGCAATGCTCGGCACAGCCAATCTTACCCTCTGACGTCACCTCACCTTCAGGGTGGCCGCTGCCACCAGCCGTACACCATACCAGTCAAGGGCAAATAGCGCGCACTTAAAGCGATTCGAGCCCACCGGTCGGAAGGCAGGTTACCTGACCAACTGAGCTATTGGGACGGACGGAGGTCTTAAAGACCGTTCCAGGCGACCAGTTAGGCGCAGCTTCTATGACAGGTCACTCACAACCGCTGGTGGATCCCGGGGGAGGGGGGGGGGAGGGGGAGGGCCATGTTCGCCCAAGATAAGTAACAACGATATAGCTTACATTCTGTTGGGTCGGGACTCGAGGTTTGGCCCGTCCCAAGATCCGACTATGGATACGCCTCTGCCCACAATAACCCTTCAAGCCGCCCAAGGAGCTAAGCAACATTGTATGCAAGCAAGGTACGTTTGCAACGGCAAACCGCGATGGACCACGGTATCCTATATAGGAAAACAAGGAGGGATCGGGGAGGCTAAGAGTGTTAACAAGCCACGCAAAAACTGACATGGGCCAGACAGAACTTTAATGCCAGTTGTGACAAAGGAACCAGCATATGCACGTCGAATATCTGCAAGATTCCAACGACACACAGCTTCATAGTTCCGTGAATCATCTGCTTAGATATGCAACTCACAATGCACTCGTCTGGCGTGAAGCACTTGCAGAAGTGGCAGGGATCACCCTTCACCGGTCCCGTTTCGAAGCAGATATCTGAAAGCATCAAAAGCAGCCATTGCATAGCATACTTTCAACTCACGTAGTGTTTCGCTAGTCCGCGCCATTCATCCGCTCGATTAAAACAATAATGTTACTCTTGCAACTCAGTTGCCTCACACTGGTTCAAAAGCATACAGTTTCCAGTTAAGCAGGTACAAGTCTCCATTACTAAGGCACTCCCCATGACAAACAGTACTGAAATTATAACTGACAACACCACGCTAATTTTTCTAGGGTGATGCTGACTGACACTGTACGTGCATAATGAAGACAACCCCGCGCAAATGGCCATTGCTGCATTCTACATGAAATGGCCATCAAGCGCACACGATAGCACACGCTATTTTGCAGCTACAGCATTTAACAAAGGTGTGACAAATGAATTTGACAGATTTCAGAGGCATGTCAATGATAACACATAATATGCATGCAGCAGTCCTATGTATATATATATATATATATATATATATATATATATATATATATATATATATATATATAGAATGCTGCAACGCCTCTAACGAAGGTACTTCAGTCAGCGAATGAGCTAGCTGCTGTTCTTTGCAATTATCTGGTAACGAATGGGAGGGCTCAAACAGACTCAAACGGCGGCACAGACATGTTCTGTTCTGTTCATACCCCGAACCCTCCACCTTGCGTAATGCAGGGCATCTCGTCAAGTTACCTTTCGTATCAAGCTTGGCCTTGAAGATGGTCTCGATATCTCCCACGGGCAGCGAGAGCGCCAGCGAGGCGGTGGTCAACAGGAGCAGGCCGCGCATCGTGTTCAGCGCTGTCTGTCCGACCGCAAACTGCACTGCCGGGGCGACCCGCCGGCCGCGTGTCTTATACCAGCCGCTAATGGCGTCACCGGCCCCGGGCGGCCGTACTGCGCCGATTCGAGCAGCGATAGCTGACATCGTCGCCCCACGAGGATGACTAGCGGCCACACTCAACCTGGCCCAGCGTGTGTCCACGACGTTTCGTCATCTCGTCTGTAGGAGCCTACGACTTAACCAGCTTAACAGAAGGTAAAGGAGGAGAAGGAGGAGGAAAAGTAGGAGGAGAAGGAGGAGGACGACAAGGTGGATGTGGAGGAAGAGGAAGGGAGAAGAAAGAGGGCGAAGAGGAGGAGGCGAAGGGGAAGGGGAAGAGGAGGAGAAAGAGGGTCATTGTCTGTAGGCCAGGCTGCCCGTGATGACGTCACGGATGACGTGGGCGGGGAACGGAAAGAGCATCGTGCCTAACAGGTTGAGCACAGGGCTTTCTGGGTTCGCCGGCAAAGCATCTTGACATGAAGTGGCAGGGAACACTCGCCTCACCTGATGGTGAGGCGAGTGTTCCCTGACATTGATGCCATAGCGGTATGATGTAGGGTGTTACACATGATGCATATGGAGGACACTTCGAAGAAATGACAGATAATTTAAGTATTCAGTAGGTAGTCAGAATGGTCGATAGCACCTTGTTAACGACGCTCATCTTCCACAAACCAAATTTTGAACGCTGGCTGGACGTGAGGAACAATTAGAGATGAGTGCTCATTGCAATTCGGAATTGCAACCATGTAATGGCTTTATTCTGACCTGAGCTTGGATTCGAGACCCAAATTAGTTTTAATTTGTGTCGACATCTAGAAAATCAGCCGCATTTTACGTCCCACTTCTAAACCAATTTGTTTGATTTCTGGCGAACTGCTCTCACATTTTATATTTACACCCTGCTGAGCCATATCCTCCCGATTGAAAATGGTACTGAGCATTCGTGTTGGTACACATATCTACGCGTGACAGGCCGCTTTGTTCGAGAAAACTTATCTGAGATTGATGAGGCCTGCTTGTGGCATGTAGGCCCTTGAACTTTGGTCCGCGCTCTCCCGGTTTAAATGCTGTTTTACTTAAGCTCCCTTCTTTAATCAACTACACGTTGGTTGACCACAGCAGTGACCACAACAGTTGAGTTAGTCCGGAACCCACAGCAGTAGGGTCCAGCAGTAACTAATGCAGTGCTATAGAGCGCGTAGGACAGGCGACACTGGTGCAACACAGACATGTGCGTGCTGTATCGAGTTTATTTGAAGGAAGGTGGAGCCTACAGCGCATTCCATCGCATTTAATCACATTCTCAAATAACGCCAAGCAGGATTCGACATCAACTTCAACAACATCAACATCAACATCAACAACATCAACAGCATTGGGATCCAAATTTCTGGGATTCATATTCTCATTTTCAGACTTTCAGGTATTGTAGGATTCGAATCTACTCGAATCCTTCGACTCAGAATCCTCAGTCCAGTGGCAATGCTCCAAGCCATGCACGCGGTGCCGAATCCAGCTTATGGCGCTTGCACTTCACTGTCAAGGATTTTTTAGCACCCATGGCTGTGATGTGTATGGTAGGAGAAGCGTGGGCACAAGTGGCTCACGATGGATTACCAGCTATTAGTGTGACAGTTTGCGTGGCCCACGAGGGTTGCCAGCTTTTCGTGGCTGCTTAGCAGTCGCCCTACGGCTGTTTTCCCCTCCGCCTTACTATAGAGGGGGTGAGGGCAGGGGGAGGGAACTCAACAGCTTCTTTAATGTTTCGGAAACTAAACGGGATAGAGCCACGCGGCAACAGCATTGGAAAGCTCCTTTTAGAATGCATCAGTTAGGTGTCAGTGATCAGCGGCGAATGTTACGTTTGGCAGGTCAAAGTAAGTCATAGGCTAAATCAACACTTGATAGATCTATCGTATTATCCCGTAAGTAAGCGTGCTGCGACAACGCAAACGACGGTGTTGAATAGCTCTTAGAAAACTCTATCACATGAGCACGGGTGAACACAGACTTACCTAATCTACAATATGTCATGTCAGGTGAGATGGAAGCCCTTGCGATTACATCACGAGCTAAGCAGCCACGCAAATGGAGCTAACAGCGTTAGAGAGGCCTTCCAAAGCTGCAAGCTGCTATCATTGCTGTTAAAATTGTATCACCTTTAAAACGTCAAATGTGGTCACAAAGGTCAAAATATGACCTAACTTGACCTTTGCTGACCTAACCTTGAAAAAACAGCCGGGGTGATCGTAATGCAATTAACGGTAATGCAACTGAGTAAAACAGCCAAAAAACCTCCTGGGAGTACATTTCCCGCGAGATATAAGCACTACGTGTTATTTGTGTGCAAAATGTCACCAAGGTGGCCTCGAGATAAAGAACATACATGATGAGACATGAAAGTTTGAAGCAGCAAATTTTCATACGTGTAGAAATAACGTAAACTTTTTCTTTTTCATTTGCTGCTCAAAATATAAGCACCACGCTCACAGCCGTTCAGGAGTTGCTCGAAAAAACCCGTCGAAGAATTTCCGAGCCCCTCCCCTCTCCGAAGTAGAGAGATCTCCATTGGGATTATGACAGTGTATTGCAAAAATATACTTAACAGGGTTCAGGGCCCGATCTCTTTTTGTGAAGCTTTTTGTGTAGGACTTGGCAAAAGCCCTACACAATCATCAAACCTCCCAGAGAACCGCCCAGACAGCGCCATTGAGCCGTTTCGCGATGTAATACGTGCCGAGAAGTTAGCCTGGCATTTTTGATAGTCTAGGGGTCTCTTTATCGCTCATTTCCTCCACACACACTATTGGCTGCTTGGGATGCCTCTATTTATAGCCTATTCCGAATCAAGTTATGACAACCAGCAAATACACTATCTAAAGGCCCAACGTCTTAGTCCTGCTCTTTGCCACATGAACTGGATTGTTTGGATCATGAGAAGTAAACTACCATGCTCATTCGAAGTTTCACAAATGTGTCCGATAATCCGCATGAATGACTCTCAGCAGTGTCAGGCGGCATCTTTCCGATCTAGTCTGGTGCAATGGCAGGAATACCGTTCTTCGAGCCAACTCACCACAAATCCCGGCTTATCGCTCGATGACAGCTGCCGCGTTGACATCGTAACTCGATGGTACATGGTGACGTGGCCTGAAGCTCATGAACAGGTCGCCACGAGTCTGGCGAAAAGTGGCATTGCAGTCAGAGGTGAGTGTGATGTTGAAATGCGTTGTGGAAACTCTGAACATTACATAACCGAGTCTCCACCCGGCCACACCGAGGCCATACTGAGCTGAACACAGTTTGGTCGTATTCCGCTTTAGCCAGAGCGCAGAACATTGGTGCCTTTTCATGCCAGTTTGATATTATGTCGTCATGGCATGCCTTGCGCTTGATGTGTTATCATATGATAGCATCCGGTATCCCAGCGCGGTCTGACAGACTTCATTACCCAGGGATGGCTCCAGGCGCAGTTTGTGTGGGACACGTCTAATGTCAAGTCGAGGTATGCTCAGCGACGAGCTGTGAAAGATTTCTTCCTGCTAACGAAGACATTGCTTGACTGACGTGAGTTCTCATGTCAAAGGTGCCATAAGTGACCATTGTCTCGCATGCTTTGTATCTATCACATACTTTGAGTTCATATAGATAGATTTAGAGGACTTCAAAGTAGGATAATGATACCATGGGTGAATAGGTTGCTAAGATTTATTGACAACTGAGCGGACAATCCAGATCTGTAACGGCTTCAGTTGTTGCGCATCCTGCACCGCCAGTAGGTCCACCTGGAGCACCTCTTCTTGTCATGATTTGACGGATTTGGAATCAATGATGAATACCGCTGTCACTGATTGTGCTTTGCCATTCAGTTGGCAGTTGAATACCACCACAGTTACGATTTTAGGACAAAAACACTTGCCTCTGCGAAGAAAAAAACGCAGGTGAGACAGTAGTAATAGCCTTATTCTTCGGAAAAAGGAAAATGCAGATATAGTTGCGTTGATATTTCGGCAACGTGCCTTTGTCGAAACAATAGTAAAAGTGGCATGTTGTCGAAAAAGGCACGCTGTGAAGCCCAAGTGGCATGTTTCGATAAAGGCATGCGGCCGAAATATGAACTCAACTATATCTCCACTTTCTTGTTTTTCCCCCGAAAAATAAGGCTATTACTGCCGTCTAATCTATGTCAATAACGTTCCACGCTAATGCGCTGAACAACTTACGTAAGAAGAAAACGGGTTAGCTTTCATCTGGGCCACAACGCGCTTTAAAATGCTGGCACATACCGCAGTTAATCCTCTTTATCCCAATCCAGATGTCATCATGTGCTTAACTTGCCAAACGTTTGCAAGTCTGGCCTACCATATGAGGGAGGTGGCGGAGGTAAGAACATTAGGCAGCTACATGATAGCCTGTGGTACAGAATAAACATGTAACTAGTAATGACAAGCCTGGGTACCTCGTGCACCGCTATGTGAAGGCCCTGTTCCACATTTGTATGAATATTTCCACTGAGGCAGTCTTTTAAGATCATTTTCTGCACTGCAAAGTTATGCCCTTTGTGAGAATTCAAATTCTCTTGTGTCTTAACAATGCGCTCGCGAAGTTGTGCAGACCAATCCGCGCCGCCCGTTTAAAAATGACGGCGCGAATCAGTCTGCACAAGTTCACCCCGAGATGTTTGATGACACAGAGATGTCCTGCGAATTCTGCGTTCCCTATGGCCATGCTGTGTTTAAAGGAAGTGCTCCACCTTGGTATGGGGTTTTAACTGAAATAACCATCTTGAAGATCATTCGGCGCAGTCCACAGCCCTGCCCTTCTTAAGATATAAGCGCTTCTAGTTTTTTAGGTTCACGCCCGCGAAGATGAGCAGACTTTTTCTGGGGGACTATTTCAAGATCACCAAGGCAGCCATGACGCCATGATATCGTCATTCAAATGCTGTCATTTCATTGGTCATGCGACGATCAAGGCCAATAAAAT